CCATAGTAAGTATGCAACTGCAGTCATGTGTTCTCGAAGGTTGAATGATTTTTTATTTTTGATTAACGAAATTAATAGGATCATCCTATAACTAAATATGAGAGTAGAGTCATCAAATAGATACAATTTATAGCCAAAAAAAAATCAAATTATTTAACCAGTAATTAAGCCTCTTGTTATTAGCCGATTAAGGTTTTTTTGAATGATTCCAGCTCCTAACAAAAGACTATGATTCAAGGATCGTAAACTGCGGGATTTTTACAAGAACAAGTATGGTTACAATCATGATATTGAACAGAATTAGAATTGAATTCATATGAATTGCAATAGATGAAGAAAGAACAAACTATATTTACTAAAAGATGTTGTAATAAAATTTGTACTACTGTATGACATAAATTTTTCACGTTTTCGCGCCAGAAAAGTAAATGTTGATCGTATAAAAAATTAATTCATTAATAAGTTTTTTTGTTTTCTTTAGCTAATTTATACACTTGTACTATGAAAGAATTCATGTACTGTACTATTGATTATTTAATTGTCTAAAGATTTAAAATATTGGTATAATTATCTTAAAATTGAAATTTTTTTGTAATAAGTAAAATGGATTTATTAATTTTCAAATATTACGAATGTAAACAAATGAAAAAAAAAATGAAAAAGTATTGATTTTTTGTGAGTGAATATATAAATGAATATTTATTATTTTTTTAAAAGAAATTCTTTCTTATATAGTATTCATATACATATATTAAATGTTCTTATATACTGTATACTATATAATAAAAGTTTGTATGACTAGTATATTTTCATGTAAGTTTATTAATGAGTTAACCGGCGTTTTCTGGCGTTTTTATAAAAGTTTAAAAATAATAATTCGAATTCTTTAAAAATTTTAGATAATTTTAGTAGGATTAATATCTACAGCTGTTAAGAGTCTACTATGATGTAACATGGATTAATGAGTCATATAAAAGAACAACTACGGTAAAAAAAATTATTATTATTTTAACCTTTTTATATCAACGGATTTTTTCCTTATAAAATTATTTTGATTTTTTTAAGTTGTTTACCTTTCTCAATCCAGTCTAATAGATAACTTTTATCGTTTCAGGTGACCATATAACATGAAACATGTGCTGCATGCTGCGCCTGATCTATTCTGTGTTATAGTCATGTGTATGACCCGATGGCTAGGCTAATCCAATTCCGGTTAATGAAATTTTTTTTCAGTAAACGCTAAATATTCATTACGCCATTTCAGCACAAGATACAAAGTTAATCAACGACCAGATACCTTTGTCGGAAGAACTCCTTCAGGTTTCTCTGTTCGTGCGCATATTGTGTTGTGGCCGGTTACGCCTAATGATCCCTAGCCCTATAAAAAAATTGGATACGTTTTTTATAAAGTTTTTATACGATTTTTTTCCTTAGAAATAACGTTTCATAATAGGATACGGAAAAATGCACAATTCCGTATCACTAAAATATGGTTTGGATACGGAATTTGCACGGAATGCATATGGAATTTACATGATTTTATCACGAAATTTATACGATTTTGTCACTGAATTTACTATTTGTATTACAGTTTATTATAATTATATTTACATAAATCTAATTTTACTTTATTAAATTAAATAAAAAATAAAAAATAAACAAAATACAAATACATTATGAAAATTCCCTCCTTATTAAAACCACCTATTGCAACCAAAATTATCTATAAGTTCAGGTTCATTTGGAGTCAAACAACCTAAAAAAAACAAAAAAAAA